CCTGGGTAACAGTGAGACCCCATCTCAACAACAACAAAAAGAACTAGAACAGTGACCTTTGGTTGTAACATGAAATCAGCAGTTGGTTATAATGGGTGCTTTAGGTTAATATTTTCCCATGGAGCTGGAGCCAGGCATTTGTCAAAAATGTTTTTTCTCTCTCCCTTTTTCAATTTGAAATCCTGCTAATACACTAATTTCTGTGGAACTTTCTACTAGCCACTACTGGTGGCCAGCTGTTGATGGTTTATTAGCACTCAAAATATTTAAAACAAACAAGAAACCTCTCTTCACATCTCCTTGCCCTGTATATGAAGATGTGCAAATATGGAAAAGTTTGATGTTTAAGCAGAATTAGTTATATTTTAAGTAGACAGATTTGAATCTTTCAAAAACCCACATGAGGCAAATACATTTCTTCAGCTCTGCTTTTCAGCAAATAGTGAGACTGGAGAGCAGGCTGACATTTGTCTTAGCTACCCAAGAAAGACCAAAATTGCCTTCTTGTTAGATTTTGCTTGCGTGCTTAGTTATGAAACAGACTGAGACCCTGTTTTCTTTTGTATTAACTGACCTCGGTATTAACCTCACCTTCCCTCCTCCCCTTTCATTTTTTGGTTTCTGGTTTTCCTTTCCAATTTGTTACAAGTATGCTTAGAGCACAAAGGCATTGCAGTTGATAGAGATTATTATGTTCTCTGGCGGTTTCAGTTTTCTTGACTTTAAGCTTTCTTCCTCCTAGACAAATAATACAGGCGGCTGCCATATCTGAGGGTTTTAGATTCTTGTTAACCTTTTAATGTATTGTAATTAAGATGAATTTGAAAAGAAAACCATTTCCTCTATTTAAGAATTGCCTTGGCAAGAAGTTGGAAATCCTAGAACCTTGTTGCAAAGGAATGTGTAACTATTTGTTATGAATGAGTCTGCTTAGGTCCAGTGAAACCTTCCTATTGTTAATGTGAAGTCAGATATCTTCAGTGAGGGAGAGACTGTCCTCTAAGGCAACGCAGCTAAAGCTCCAGGGGCAAAGGGCAGAGCGAATAAGCAGGGGCCTGTGTCATGGATTTTGTTCACTGACCTGAAAGCATTTGACTGCTCATCTCATGTTGCTGCTTTGCCCTTGGTCATTAGATATTAGGTCTACTGTAGGTCAATGAGACTGTCTACAGAAGGGTTCCAGTGCCCACCAAAAGTTGTTTGTAAATATGAAGTATTGCATATTATCTTTCCTAAGATTGTCAGAACCTAGAAGAACTGCCTTTGATTAATGTTAGAAAACAGCTTTTATGAGGCATAAAGTTCATTTAATAATTCCACAAATACTTACTGAGCATCTATTCTATATCAGGCGTTTTCTAGGTTTTTGGAAATAGAGTGGTGAACAAAATAGATGAACATCTCTGCCTTCATAGAATTTATATTCTAGCTGGGCACAGTGGCTCATGTCTGTAATCCCAGCACTTTGGGAGGCTGAGGCAGGAAGATTACTTGAGCTCAGAAGTTGGAGACTAGCCTGGGCAATATGGTGAAATCCCATCTCTACCAAAAATATAAAATATTAGCATGGTGGTGAGTATCTGTGGTCCCAGCTATTCATAAGACTGAGGTGAGAGGATCACTTGAGCCTGGAAGGCAGAGGTTATAGTGAGCTGAGATTGCACCACTGCACTCTAGCCTTGGTGACAGAGAGATACTCCATCTTGGAAAAAAAACCCTAGATTCTAGTTGGGGAGACATATACTAAGTAAGATAACACAAAGGGCATTATATAGTGTATTCGGTGGGGACAAATGCTGGGCAGAAAAAAAAATAAACAGAGGAAGAAGACAGGAAGTGTCAGGAGTAGTACTGTGGCTTAATTATTATTATAAATTGTTTCTTTTTGAAAACTATATGTATTATTTTTGCATTAAAAGCATTGCTCTGAGGCCGGGCGCGGTGGCTCAAGCCTGTAATCCCAGCACTTTGGGAGGCCGAGGCGGGTGGATCACGAGGTCAAGAGATCGAGACCATCCTGGTCAACAAGGTGAAACCTCGTCTCTACTAAAAATACAAAAAATTAGCTGGGCATGGTGG